TAATCCCAGCACTTTGAGAAGCTGAAGCAGGAGGATCGCTTGAGACCAGGAATTTGAGACAAGCCTGGGCAACATAGCAAGATCTCTTCTCTACAAAAATTTAGTCATGTATGGTAGCGTACACCTGTGGTCCAGGAGGCTGAGGCAGGAGGACTGCTTGAGCCCAGGAGGTCATGGCTACAGTGAGCTATGGTTGCACGACTGCACTCCACTGTGGGCAACAAAGACCCTGTCTCAAAAAAAAAAAAAAAAAAGGAAAGGAAAAAGAGGCTGGGCTTGGTGGCTCACACCTGTAATCCCAGAACTTTGGAAGGCTTGAGGTAGGCAGATCATTTGAGGTAAGGAGTTTGAGACCAGCCTGTCCAACATAGCAAAACTCCATCCCTACTTAAAAAAAAAAAATTCCAAAAATTTAGCTAGGTATGGTGACACGCACCTGTAATCCCCAAGCTACTCAAGAGGCTGAAGCAGGAGAATGGCTTGAACTTGGGAGGCAGAGGATGCAGTGAACCGAGATCACGCCACTGCACTCCAGCCTAGATGACAGAGCAAGACTCTGTCTAAAAACAGGGGGTGGGGGAGGCAAAGGTGGCCACATTCTTTGGGGCTACTGAACTGACAAACAAATAAAAGGCTGAGATTTTCAGGAGCTTTGTGGCTGGTGAATGCAAACTACATGCTGGGAGGTTGCAGTGCATCCCAACTCCTCTAGGACAGAAGTTCCAGCATTCGAGACCCTTCCAAACCTTACCCTATGAATCTCTTCATCTGTATCCTTTATGATATCCTTTAAAATAAACCAATGAACAGCTGGTTCAGTGTGCTGAACTTTGCTAGCAGCTGGAAAGAAGTAAGTTCCTCATACAAAGGTTGCTATGCGGCATAATTTAGGCCTTGAAGCAGCTATGGTTTTAATACTTTACAAGATGTGTTTTCTCAAAGCTGCCAGTTCTTTTAGAACTTATCAAATTGAAAAGGCTGGGCAGGTGGCTCACACCTGTAATGCCAGCACTTTGGGAGACCAAGGCAAGCGGACCACCTGAGGTCGGGAGTTCAAGACCAGCCTGATTAATAGAGAGAAACCTCGCCTCAATTAAAAACACAAAAATTAGCTGGACATGGTAGCGCACGCCTGTAGTCCCAGCTACTCAGCCGGCTGAGGCAGGAGAATCGCTTGAACCCGGGAGGCAGAGATCCTGCCATTGCATTCCACCTTGGGCAACAAGAGTGAAACTCCATCTCAAAAACAAACAAAAAACTCATCAAATTGAGGCTACTCCAACCAGCTTTACAAGGAATGGATTTAAGGCAAATCTTGTGTTTACAAAGACTTTACCCCCTTGGCCATTCATTCTTCACCTTGAAGGCAAAAATACCACCCATTTTCTTCACAAACTGTCCCCCAAAGGCAAATCTTGTGTTTACAAAGATTGCTCAGGATGGTCTTGAACTCCTGAGCCCAAGCAATCTGCCCGCTTCAACTTTTAAAAGTCGTGCGATTACAGACATGAGCAACCATGCCCAAACTTACCTTTGATTCCACAGTTTATTTAAAAAATATATTTTACAAAAATCTATGGTAAGTCAGGAAAAGTGAAAAACAACTGATCTCTACAAAGAAAAAAAAAAGAAAAGAAAAGAAAAATTAGCTGGGTATGGTGGTGCATGCCTGTGGTCCCAGCTACTTGGGAGGCAGAGGTAGGAGGATCACCTGAGTCTGGGAGGCTGAGGCTGCTAGTGAGCTGAGATGCCACCACTACACTCCAGCCTGGGTGACAAAGCAAAGAAAAAAAAAATTAAAAAAAAACGTACTTCCCATTGCGTTACAATTGCCAAAAAAAAAAAACGAAAGGGGACAGTTTGTGAAGAAAATGGGTGGTATTTTTGCCTTCAAGGTGAAGAATGAATGGCCGGGGGCGGGGTAAAGAAGCCACCTAGTGGTGGATGTAAAGAACAGCAAAGGATCAGTGCTTTCTAACTCCTAAGAAAGCTGACCAGGTGCGGTGGCTCACGCCTATAATCCCAGCACTTTGGGAAGCCAAGGCGGGTGGATCACGAGGTCCAGAAATTGAGACCATCCAGCCCAACATGGTGAAACCCCGTCTCTACTAAAAAATACAAAAAAATTAGCTGAGCGTGGTGGCACGTGCCTGTAGTTCCAGCTACTCAGGAGGCTGAGGCAGGAGAATTGCTTGAACCCGGGAGGCAGAGGCTGAAGTGAACAAAGATCATACCACTGCACTCCAGCCTGGTGCCTGGCAACAGAGCGAGACTCTGTCTCAAAAAAAAAAAGGAAGAAAGCTGACCACACAATCACAAAGACTGACTAGGACTTACTGGCTTTGGTGACTGAACTGGTAAAATGAATCCTCAGTTTGCCTTCTTTCAAGGCAGAGTGAAAATCACCAGCAACATGGGTCTAGCTATGAAGTTACAAAGTTTTCAGCTTCAGTCAGGCAAAGGTAAGCTATGAGGAACTCCTTTGGCTACTTTTGAAAATCAATATATATCTCATCTCACAGACACATAGCTATATAATTTCATGGTTAGAAATTAGACTGAAACTACACATTGGCAAATAACATGAGATAGACTTGTTTTAAATGGTGTGACCAATCCCAGTTTCCTAACCTCTAGGTGAATACAACCTCTGATGATGAACTACTGCTTTGCTAAACTGCATACAACTATGCATTACATAGTATGTTATTTATGGCCTGGGGTAAAATTGAGTTTCAGAATAAAATTAGGAACAACAAAATCCAAAAAACTACATAAACAAAAGCTCCCATTTTGCTTACAAAGTACATTTACGGACCAGGCACAGCAACTCATGCCTGTAATCCCAACATTTTGGGAGGGCGAGCCAAGAGGATCGCTTGAGTCCAGGAGTTCGAGACCAGCCTGGGCAACATAGTGAGACTTTATCTCTACAAAAAAAATTTGTTTAATTAGCCAGGCATGTGCCTGCAGTCCAGACTACCTAGGAAGCTAAGGTGTGAGGATCGTTTGAGTACAGAGACAGAGGCTGCAGTGAGCCAAGATAGAGGCTACAGTGAGCCGTGATCATGCCCATACACTCCACGCTGCGTAACAGAGCGAGACCCTGTCTCAAAAAAAATTAAAATAAAGTATACTTAAGAATTATTCTGCAGACCAGGCGTGGTGGCTCAAGCCTATAATCCCAGCACTTTGGGAGGCCAAGTTGGGCAAATCACTTGAGGTCAGGGATTCAAGACCAACCTGACCAACAAGGTGAAACCCTGTCTCTACTAAAAATGCAAAAGTTAGCTGGACATGATGGCAGGTGCCTGTAATCCCAGCTACTTGGGAGGCTGAGGCAGGAGTGTTGCTTGAACCTGGGAGGCAAGAGGTTGCAGTGAGCTGAGATGGTGCCATTGTACTCCAGCCTGGGCAATGGAGCAAGACTCACTCTCAAAAGAAGAATTATTCTGCCAAAAAAATTATTCTGCCATAAAATGTAATTTAAGAGTTCCCTGGATGAACTAGAGAAGAAAAAGACTGCCAATACCTGGCAAGTAATTAGTGTTATGCATTTAATAACCTTATTCAGTAATAATTAATAATTCTTTTTTTTCTTTTTTGAGATGGAGTGGAGTTTCGCTCTTGTTACCCAGGCTGGAGGGCAATAGCGCGACCTTGGCTCACCGCAACCTCCGCCTCCTGGGTTCAGGCAATTCTCCTGCCTCAGCCTCCTGAGTAGCTGGGATTACAGGCACGCGCCACCATGCCCAGCTAATTTTTTGTATCTTTAGTAGAGACGGGGTTTCACCATATTGACCAGGATGGTCTTGACATCTTGACCTCGTGATCCACCCGCCTCGGCCTCCCAAAGTGCTGGGATTACAGGCTTGAGCCACCGCGCCCGGCCAATAATTCTTAAAATTTTATACTGGGGGCCAGGCATGGTTGGTCACACCTATAATCCCAGCACTTTGGGAGGCAAGGCAGGTGGATCACTTGAGGTCAGGAGTTCAAGACCGGCCTAGCCAACATGGTAAACCACATCTCTACTAAAAATCCAAAAATTAGCCAGGCATGGTGACAGGCACCTGTATCCCAGCTACTCCGGAGGCTAAGGCAGGAGAATCGTTTGAAATGAGGAGACAGAGGTTGCAGTGAGATGAGATTGCGCCACTGCACTCTACACCGGGCAACAGAGTGTGACTTCATCTTAAAAAAAAAAAAGAAAAAAAACACTTTAAATTTTGCCTTTCATACCATTAGAAACAGTATTTTCTTCCCAAATCAAAATAAAAGAAATATGATCAGAGCCTAGGAGGAAAAATCTAACCTGAACAGAGACCTAACTTCTTATTTTTTTTTGAGAAAAGGTCTCACTCTGGTGCCCAGGCTGGAGTGCAGCAGCACTATCTCAGCTCTGCAACCTTCACCTCCCAGGTTCAAGTGATTCTCATTCCTCAGCCTCTCAAAGAGCTGAGATTACAGGTGCAAGCCACCAGGCCCAGCTAATTTTTGCAATTTTAGTAGAGACAGGGTTTCACCATGTTGGCCAGGCTGGTGTCAAACTCCTGACTGTAAGTGATCCACCCAACTTGGCCCGCCAAAGTGCTGGGATTACAGTTGTGAGCCACTGCCTCTGCCCCAGGCCTATTTTTAAAACAAACAGGTTTTCAAAGTAGGTTTCCTTCTTTTTTAAAAAAATCAGTATATTTGTGTCATAAAACACTGCTGTTGATTAAATAAAGTTTGTTTTCAGATGGTTTTTAAATTATAAGCTCATTAATTTAAATATACAAAGGTTAGTCTTTTTTTATAATTTTCCATGTGTAAGTTTAAATATCTGTATTTATCTTTCTTCCTAGTTTTTCTAAGGCAAATGTTATTTCTTATAAATCAGTGAGATATAGAGTAAAGTAATGGTTTTGTAAGAATGTTTACTAGAAAATTTACATAGTTCTTCCTGGGGAAAAAAAAGGGCAGACGATTTCAGACTAGATAAAAAAGCATGTCGTGTGCTCCATTCAGTAGGATGTATACTAAAATTGGAACAATATAGACAAGATTAGCCTGGCCCCTGGACAAGGTAAAAACAAACAAACAAACAAAAAACCAGCATAATCCATCTACGTGGTCTATAAAATGCGTACTTACAAAATGTAAAGACACAGATTAAAGAAATTATTAAAAAAAAAAAAATCGGCAGGGTGCAGTGGCTCATGCCTATAATTCCAGCAATTTGGGAGGCCGAGGCGGGTGGATCACGAGGTCAAGAGATCGAGACCATCCTGGTCAAAATGGTGAAACCCCGTCTCTACTAAAAATACGAAAATTAGCTGGGTATGGTGGCACGCACCTGTTGTCCCAGTTACTCGGGAGGCTGAGGCAGGAGAATTGCTTGAACCCAGGAGGCAGAGGTTGCGGTGAGCTGAGATCGTGCCATTGCACTCCAGCCTGGATAACAAGAGCAAAATGCCGTCTCAAAAAAAAGAAAGAAAAAAAAATCATAGGCCAGTAAGAATGGCTCACACCTATAATCCCAATACTCTGGGGGGCTGAGGTAAGAGGACTGCTTGAGCTGAAGAGTTTCACACTAGCCCGGGGAACATAGTGTGACTACATCTGTATAATAATTAAAAAAAACACACACACAACCATGCCAGAGCCCAGCACTGTGACACACATTTGTAGTGCCAGCTACTCAGGAGACAGAGGCAGGAGGATCTTTTAAGCCCAGGAAATTGAGGCTAATAACACCTGAAAATAGCCACTGCAGTTCAGCCTGGGTAATATAGCGAGACCCCAGTCTCTAAACAAACAAAAATAAACATTTCCTAATGGTAAAAGAATAAATTCATCAGCATGCTAAATGTGAACATTCAACAAATGAGTTTTAACATCATAAAAGTAAAAACAGAAATAAATCCATAATCATGGCTGGAGATATTCTTTTCTTAGTAACTGATAGAACTAGATACCACCACATGCAACAACTGTAGAATACACATTAACTTCAAGTACACCAGAAACATACACCAAGATGGAAATATGCTAAATTTAACTTTTTAAATATGCTAAATTTTTAAATAAGTAAATATATTTCAAAAATATTAAATTATGGGCCGGGCGCGATGGCTCACGCCTATAATCCCAGCACTTTGGGAGGCCAAGGTGGGTGGATCACGAGGTCAAGAGATCGAGACCATCCTGGTCAACATGGTGAAACCCCGTCTCCACTAAAATACAAAAATTAGCTGGGCATGGTAGCGCGTGCCTGTGATCCCAGCTACTCAGGAGGCTGAGGCAGGAGAATTGCTTGAACCCAGGAGGCGGAGGTTGCAGTGAGCCAAGATCGAGCCATTGCACTCCAGCCTGGGTAACAAGAGCGAAACTCTGTCTAAAAAAAAAAAAAAATTTACATATATATATTTTATATATATATATATAATTATAAATTACATCAACATGTACAATAAAAATTACATTAGAAAACAATAAGATATTTAGGCCTGGCACAGTGGATCACACCTGTAATCCCAGCACTTTGGGTAGCCAAGGCAGGCAGATCACTTGAGTCCAGGAGTTCAAGACCAGCCTGGGCAACATAGCAAAACCTTGTCTCTACAAAAAAAAAAAAAATTAGTTGGACATGGTGGCACACACCTATAGCCCCAGCTACTTGGGAGGATGAGGTGGGAGGATGATTTGTGCCAAGGAGGCAAAGACTGCAGTGAGCCAAGATTGTGCCATGGCATTCCAGTCCGGGAAACGTGCCAGGCTCTGTGTCAAAAAATAAAAACTTATTTAGAAATGTTCCAGATGCGGCTGGGCGCGGTGGCTCAAGCCTGTAATCCCAGCACTTTGGGAGGCCGAGGCGGGTGGATCACGAGGTCAACAGATCGAGACCATCCTGGTCAACATGGTGAAACCCCGTCTCTACTAAAAATTACAAAAAATTAGGTGGGCATGGTGGCGCGTGCCTGTAATCCCAGCTACTCAGGAGGCTGAGGCAGGAGAATTGCCTGAACCCAGAGGGCGGAAGTTGTGGTGAGCCGAGATTGCGCCATTGCACTCCAGCCTGGGTAACAAGAGCGAAACTCGGTCTCAAAAAAAAAAAAAAAAAAAAAAAGAAATGTTCCAGATGCTTAGAAATTAGGCAACAAACTTTTAAATAACTGAGAAGTCAAGGAAGAAATCAAAGGGGAAACCAGAAAATATTTTTTAACTGAATAATAACATTGGGCCAGGTGCTGGCCCGATGTAGGCTATTGTAGGCTCATGCCTACAATACCAGCACTTTGGGAGGCTCAGGAGGTTTTTTGCTTTTTGTTTCTGAGACAGAGTCTTGCTCTGTTGCGTAGGCGAGAGTGCAATGACACAATTTCGGCTCACTGAAACCTCTGCCTCCCAGGTTCAAGCCATTTTCCTGCCTCAGCCTCCTGAGTAGCTGGCAATACAGGCGCCTGCCACCACACCCAGCTAATTTTTGTATTTTTAGTAGAGACAGGGTTTCATCATGTTGGCCAGGCTGGTCTCAGACTCCTGACCTCAAGTGATCCACCCACCTCAGCCTCCCAAAGTGCTGGGATTACAGGCATGAGCCACCACACCTGGCCAAGCTCAGGAGTTTGACACCCACCTGAGCAACCTGGTGAAAAATCATCTGTACAAAAAAAATACAAAAATTAGCTGGGTGTAGTGGTGCACACCTATAGTCCCAACTTCTTGGGAGGCTAAGGCAGGAGGATTGCTTGGGCCTGGGAGGCGGAGTTTGCAAGTCAGCCAAGATGATGCCATTCCACTCCAGTCTGGGCAACAGAGCAAGACTGTCTCAAAAAAAACCCAAAAACATCAAAAGTTGTGGGACACAGCTCTAATGATGCTTAAAAGGAAATGTAAAGCTTTAAATGTCTTCTTTAGAAAAGAAGGCTTTAAAATCAATGCTCTAAGTTTTCATCTTAAGACACTAGAAAAACAAACACAAAGTAAATAGAAGGAAGGAAGTGCTAAAAAGTAATAACAAAAAAAAACAATAAAAACACACGAACAATTCGAAATCTGACATTAAGAAAATTTGGTTCATTAAAGAGATGTTTAGGTTAATAAACACTAAGCAAGACGGGTAAGAAAAAAAGAGGCTGGGGGAAGTGGCTCACACCTGTCATTCCAGATCTTTGGGAGGTCAAGGCAGGCAGATTGCTTGAGCCCAGGAGTTCTAGACCAGCCTGAGCATCATGGCAAAACCCAGTCTCTACAAAAAATACAAAAAAATTAGCCAGGCATTGCGGTATGCGCCTGTAGCCCCAGCTACTAAGGAGGCTGAAGTGGGAAAATCACTTGAGCCCAGTAGGTCAAGGCTGTACTGAGCCAGGATAGCACCACTGTACTTCAGTCTGAGTGACAGTGAGACCCTGTCTCCGAAAAAAAGAAAAAAGAGAGAGAGAAAATACAAATTATCAATGAAAGAGTAAATTTATAATCTAAACCCTTTCTCCAAAGAAAACTATAGGATCAAATAGTTTCACAGATAAATTCTATCAAATATTAAAGACAAACAATACTAATCTTTAATAAATTATTTCAGAAAATAGAAGAGGGAGAACTTTCCAACTCAATTTCTGTGACCAGTACAAGCCTCATAGCAAAACAGGGCAGACTTTAAAAGAAAATTACATATATCAGTATCCCTCATGAAAAAAGTAGCAAAAAAAATCCTCAAGAAAATGCAGCAAAATAGAGCAACACAGAAAAAGAATACGGTATGACCAAATGGGGCTTATACACGAATGTAACATTAGCCCAACATCTGAAAATAAATGTGATGTAATTCAGTAGCTTTAAATACAGTCTATTATCACCTTTCTTTTTTTTGAGATGGAGTCTCGCTCTCATCGCACAGGCTTGAGTGCAGTGGCAGGATCTCGGCTCACTGCAACCTCTACCTCCTGTGTTCAAGCAATCCTCCTGCCTCAGTCCCCTGAGTAGCCGGGATTACAAGTGTGCACCACCATGCCCACTTAATTTTTGTATTTTTAGTAGAGACGGGGTTTCACTATGTTGGCCAGGTTGGTCTTGAACTCCTGACCTCAGGTGATCCGCCTGCTTCAGCTTCCCAAAGTTCGAGTATTACAGGCGTGAGCCACCGCGCCCCCGCCTACTCTCACTTTTCCACACTTTACCCAAAGACCTGCTAGAGCCACAGTAATCTTTCAGGGAAGGAATCTACATGATTTTTGAAACAAATAGCACAGTTACAAATTTATAATTAATTACTCAGATCATCAGAGAGCTCCAATTCTAGAAAATTAATTTCTAGCCTTCACAGAATTTTAATTTTGTTCTTTTATCAAAGCTCAACATCAGAAAATGAATGTAAAGAATATAAACAGCTCATCTCTTACCGAAATAGAAGGCTATTTCATTATACTGTACAATGCGCTTTATGTAATGTACCGACAATCCATGTAATTTAGTTCTAGGGGAGAAAACATACTTTCCTAATGGTTGCTTCTTTTTTTTTTTGAGACGGAGTTTCTCTCTTGTTACCCAGGCTGGAGTGCAATGGCGTGATCTCGGTTCACTGCAACCTCTGCCTCCTGGGTTCAGGCTATTCTCCTGCCTCAGCCTCCTGAGTAGCTGGGATTACAGGCACACGCCACCATGCCCAGCTAATTTTTTTGTATTTTTAGTAGAGAGGGAGTTTCACCATGTCGACCAGGATGGTCTCGATCTCTTGACCTCGTGACCCACCTGCCTCGGCCTCCCAAAGTGCTGGGATTACAGGCTTGAGCCACCACGCCCAGCCCCTAATGGTTGCTTTTATTAATGTAATGAACATGATAGGGATGAGAAATGAAGGAAAAGTCCATGTTTGGGTAAAGACCTCACTATCAGTTGAGAATGCATTATGGCAACATAGTGTAATGGCACTCAAATGCACTTCAACCCAGAAAACTTGTATAAAGTTTCTCAAGCAAAGAAACTAAAAAACAGAGAAAGCTTAGGCATATAATAGCTGTAACTGACATCACTGTTGTCATTAGTGTCACTGCTTGTCCAAAAGCAAAGGACCAGAAAATGAGACCTGAATAAACTCAGAATTCTTTAAGCTTTCCTAGGAAATTCTGAAATATATTTTATGTTCAAAGAGCTACCCTTAGCAGGGTACGGTGGCTCACACCTGGAATCCCAGCACTTTGGAAGGCTGAGGTGGGTAGATCACCCAAGGTCAAGAGTTCCAGACCAGCCTGACTAAAACAGTGAAACCCCGTCTCTACTAACAATACAAAAATTAGCTGGGCGTTATGACATGTCCTGTAATCCTAGCTACTAGGAGGGTGAGGCAGGAGAATCACTTGAACCCGGGAGGCAGAGTTTGCAGTAAGCCAAGATTGCTCCACTGCACTCCAGCCTGGGCAACAGAACAAGACTCTGTCTCAAAAGAAGAAAACAAAGCTACCCTTAACCAAAGTATTCTTTTCATTATGTAACTCTTCTTATATCTTAGTTGCAGTGTATTTTTATTGGTTCTCCCTCAAATTCATTTTAGAAATGGACAAGATATAAATAAGAAAATATGAAACTAATATAAAGAAGATTGTAGCCATATCAGAACTGATAAATATTACTTTTCAATCAATAAAGAGGGATAAATGTAATAAAATCATAACCATTAAAAACAAAACAAAACAAAAAAACTGGCTCACATTTGTAATCCTAGCACTTTGGGAGGCTGAGATGGGCAGATTGCCTGAGCTCAGGAGTTTGAGACCAGTCTGGGCAACATGGTGAAACCCCAGCTCTACTAAAATACAAAAAAAAAAAAAAAAAATCAGACAGGTGTGGTGGCAGGTGCCTATAAAACCAGCTATGTGAGAGGCTGAGGCATGAGAACTGCTTGAACCCAGGAAATGGTTATAGTGAGCCAAGACCATGCCACTGTACTCTAGTTTGGGCAACAAAGTGAAATTCTGTCGTGTCCTTTGCAGGGACATGGATGAAGCTGGAAACGATCATTCTTAGCAAACTAACACAAAAACAGAAAACCAAACACCACATGCTCTCACTCATAAGTGGGTATTGAACAATGAGAACACATGAACACAGGGAGGGGAACATCACACACAGGGGCCTGTCCAGGGACAGGGAACTAGGGGAGTGATAGCAGGGGGTGGGGGAATTGGGGAGGAATAGCATTAGGAGAAATACATAATGTAGATGATGGGGTGATGGATGCAGCAAACCACCATGGCACGTGTATACCTATGAAACAAACCTGCATGTTCTGCACGTGTATCCCAGAACTTAAAGTATAATAAACAAATAAATAAATAAAATAATAATAGTGTGTTATACAGCAATAGAAGACGAAACAAGTCCTTTATTTTTAATCAAAGATAAATGGTTAAAATTTTTTAAAAAGTGAAACACTGTCTCCATTAAAAAAAAATTAGAAGAACTGAGATTTAAACCAAAGGTAAACAAGTAATACTACTAACATTTGTAATGTTTGGTCTCTTTCCAATGAGCAAATGTGATGGGTTTATTTTACCTTAATTTCTATCCTTGCTCTGTGAGGGAAAAGCTGTCCGATCATAGAAAAGTCAGTTCCCACCATGCTGATGGCTAAAAAAAACATATCTGTTTCTGTGAAAACAAAAGATTTAGAAAGACTAAAAATTAATCCTCTCAATATTTCAGAAAAAATAAATCTTACAAAATTTGACAGCAGTTAATTTAACTGGAAAGATCACCATGGAATATCTAAAAACATCTTATAAATAAAAATTTTTCAGTATAAGAAATCATATGCAGGCATGGTGGCTCACACCTATAATCCCAGCACTTTGGGAAGCCAAGGGAGTACAAATCATTTGAGGTCAAGAGTTCAAGACCAGTCAGGCCAACTTGGCAAAACCTCATCTCTACTAAAAATTAAAAATAAAATGAGCCAGGCATGGTGGTGTGCACCTGTAATCCCAGCTACTGGGGAGGCTGAGGCAGGAGAATAGCTTGAACCCAGGAGGCAGAGGCTGCAGTGAGCTGAGATGGCGCCACTGCACTCCAGCCTGGGCAACAGAGCTAGAATCCACCTCAAAAAAGACAGACAAAAGGAAAAAAGGAAAAAGGAAAAGGAAAGGAAAGGAAAGGGGAGAAACGGGAAAAGCGGAAAGGGAAAAGGAAAAAGTGAAAAGGGGAAAGAAAAGAGATCACATAAAAGCAGCGGAATTTTTTTTTAAGACATTCATTCTGCCTTCTGATTTATTCAAAGTTCCCTGGCCAACATGGTGAAACCCTGTCTCTACTAAAAATACAAAAATTAGCTGGGCTCAGTGACACATGCCTGTAATCCCAGCTACTCAGGAGGCTGAAGAAGGAGAATAGTTTGAACCTGGGAGGCGGAAGTTGCAGTGAGCCGAGATCATGCCACTGCACTCCACCGAGTGACAGAGCAAAACTCCATCTCAAAAAAAAAAAACCATTAACAGAAGTTACACCTCAGAAGAATAGGAACAAGAAAGTCAAAGAAGGGAAGTATAGAGTCTTTCTTTATACTCTATATTCTGCTGTTTGAATTCTTCCCCAAAACTACTGTCTTTAAAATAAAAATAAGCACTAGCATGCAACAGATTTTTAACAGCATAATATTTATCTATAAACTTTATTATACAATTTTATCTGTGGGAGAACATTAGGACCATTAGAAATACTCTATTGTTATCTGCAAAATGGGGTTAAAAAAATTAATAGTCAATTGTTAATTTTTACTTAATTGGTATTTGTTGTACAGGGATTTGACAGAGAGATTCCAGCCAAAATGACTATAAAGTTAACTCTTTAAAAAGATTTCTTTCAGCAGAATAGTGACTAAAAGAAACTTAAAAAATAAAAAGAAAAAAGAACAGAAAAAAAGAATATTTCAGGGCCAGGCACAGTGGCTCACGCCTGTAATTCTGACACTTTGGGAGGTGAAGGCATGAGGATCACTTGAGCCCAGTGATCCTCAATATGCTGCCCAGGCCTTGGAGACAGACCAGCCTGGGCAACATATTGAGACCTCATTTCTAAAAAAAAAAAAAATCCAAAAAACAGGCCTGGCACAGTGGCTCACACCTGTAATCCCAGCACTTTGGGAGGCTGAGGTGGGTGGATTACCTGAGGTCAGGAGTTTGAGACCAGCCTGGCCAACAAAGTGAAACTGTCTCTACTAAAAATACAAAAATTAGCTAGGCATGGTGGTGGGTGCCTGTAATCCTAACTACTCAAGAAGCTGAGGCAGGAGAATTGCTTGAACCTGGGAGATGGAGGCTGCAGTGAGCAGAGATCGTGCCATTGCACTCCAGCCTGGGCAACAAGAGTAAAACTCCACCTCAAAAAAAAAAAAGAAAAAAAAAAATCAAAAAAATTAGTGGGTGTGGTGGCACACACCTATAGTGCCACCTACTCTGGAAGGCTGAGACATGAAGATCACATGAGCCCAGGAGTTCAAGGCTGCAGTAAGCTGTGATCGTTCCACTGCACTCCAGGCTCGGCAATCAATCAAGACCCTATCTCTACTTTCTAGGGTTTTTTTTCTGCATTTTTTTTGTAAAAATGAGGTCTTGCTTTGTTTCCCAGGCTTGTCTCAAACTCCTGGCCTCTAGTGATTCTCCTACCTCAAAGTCAGAGATACCATTCCATGGAGGGCATAAGATATAGGTGTTAGGCCAGGCATGCTGGCTCATGCCTGTAATCCCAGCACTTTGGGAGGCCAAGGCAGATGGATCACTTGAAGCCAGGAGTTCGAGACTAGCCTGGTCAACATGGTGAAACCCTGTCTCAGGAAAAAAGAAATTACATTTTTTATTACATTCTTTTTAAAATTTAAAAAAAATAAATAATACATAAATAAAGATATAAGTGTTAATAAAATTAGCTGGAATAAAATGGTAGTTTGCGTTTTATTTACTTAGGGGAGACTTGATTTAATTCAAAAACAGTCACTTCATTTCAAATAAATAATTTACACACTTTTAAATGAAAATTAGTTACCTTTATTTGACCATGGTTTAGAGTAATAGTTTTTCCTAAAGCTGGAGTATGTAGTTGTAGAACCTCGCTCAAATATGGGGTCATTTTCTTCAACAACACAAGGGCCTTTTGTTCTTAAAACTTCTACAGTTAAACTGAAATAAACACATTTTTAAGTAGATCTGTACTAAAAACGAGTAAGGAAACAAATAGTAAATGAGATTTAAATAATTATAGTTTGAAGTTTAGCATGGCAATCATATCAAAAGCACAATATTTACGTGAAATACGGGTATTTTCCAAGCACCTGCTAAGTTTTACTTTTAAACGTGATTCCAAGAGGGCAGGAAGAAATGCCAATTCATTTTCGAAATCCATAACAGCAACATAATATTTACAAAATATCTTTGGGCTACCTATTACAAAAAAGTATTATTGACTTCCATACGTTTTTCATATTCAGTATGTATTGCTGTGCTGGACTCAATGGAAATTTTGAAAAACAGAAGCACTTATGTTTTACATTCCTGCAGACAAAGCAGTTAAATATGCTTTTAACTATTCAATGGCCAGTAAAATCATCATCACAAACTAATGGAAAACAGCCCACAAAAACAACTATTATTAGCAGTATTAATGCTTAATTATAGAATGTAAATGTTATAAAATTATTTTTCACTAAGTAAACTTTCAAAAGGTCTTCCAATGCTCTATTTATTTACTTACTAATTTATCATCTTTAAAAAAAAAAAACCCTAGCCAGGCACGATGACTCACACCTGTAATCCCAGCACTTTGGGAGGCCAAGGTGGGCAGATAACGAGATCAGGAGATCGAGACTATCCTGGCCAACATGGTAAAACCTCGTCTCTACTAAAAATACAAAAATGAGCCGGGCGTGGTGTTGTGAGCCTGTAATCCCAGCTACTAGTGAGGCTCAGGCAGGGGAATCACTTGAACCTGGGGGAGGCTGCAGTGAGCCCAGATCGTGCCAGCACTCCAGCCTGGAGACAGAGCGAGACTCCAAAAAAAAAAAAAAAAAAAAAAAAAACCTTAAAAAGACAAGCAAATTCCAAATTCCACAATGCACAATGTGAGAAATTAAATATTATAACTGAGAAATTAAACCAGAAGATGAATTAAATCTCACCGTAACAAAAATCACAAAATATGTTAAACCCACATTTCAATTTCAATGCATATTCATTGGTTATTACCACATAACAGGATATGCTCTTAATAATACGAGAACTTGAATATTGACTTCAAGACTGTGTCAATATTAGAAATTTATCCTCAGTGGAAGATAGCATATGATTAGTTCAATAGCCTGACTCAATGACCAGCAAAGATGGTAAAACAACAGGGTTAGGTTAATAGATGATAGGTCATCTTCTCATATAAAATAGAATTATAAAAATTACTAAAATTGAGTGGGAGGGGACAGAAAAAAATTACTCAAATTTATAAATTAATCTCACCCATTTTTCTATTTATGATATTCATTATGCAAATATAAACACCAAGGTCTAAGTCACAGAGGCCAATATAGAAAGAGGATCTCTCTCATGGGACAAAGCATGTTTGTTCTCATGAAAGCACAGTCTCACATTCTCTCTTTTTAAAATACCTTTCTTCATCCAAAATAATAGAACCATCTTCTGCCACTTTTACTCGAGGAACCAGTAATGCCCCATCATCTGTCTCTTCTTCCATTTCATTATCTTCAGCATTAGGAGTTCTCTTACCTTCCTGCCTACCAAATATAAAGATAAGTTAATTCATATAGGCATGAGAATTATTTCTTGAATAGTACAAAATTTAAAATAAATGATTACAACCTCAACCTTCTAGCTATTTCCAACTTTCTCTATAATCCAAATGAAAATAGTATGTGTGGTTAAGGACACAATTATAGGATTTTCTCAAGTTTTATCTGGAGGCATTTAGTAAAAAGTCATTAATCTCTTTTAAAATAAAGAGAAACAGGCAGGGCATGGTGGTTCATGCCTGTAATCCTAGCACTTTCAGAGGCCAAGGCAGGAAGATCACTTGAGGCCAGGAGTTGAGATCAGCCTGGGTAACATAGCAAGACCCTATCTCTACAAAAAAATTTAAAAATTAGCCCAGGACGGTGATATATGCCTACAGTCTCAGCTTCTCAGAGTCTGAGGCAGGAGTATCTCTTGAGGCTAAGATTTTAATCACAGCGCTGCACCCCAGCCTGGGAGACTGTCCAAGACCCTATCTGTAAAATAATAATAATGATTACAGTTATATAGCATTAGTTTCTACATTATTTGATTAACATTTCAGTACAATCCTTCAGGGTATTTTCATACTTATTTGAGCCTTAAGGAAAATAGCCAGATGCAGCAGCTCATGCCTGTAATCCTAGCATGTTTGGAGGCTGTGCAGGAGGATTACTTGAGCTTAAGTTCAAGACCACCAGCCTGGGCAACATAGTAAAACTTTATCTCTATGGAAAAAAACCCTTGAAAAATTAAAAAGTTTAGCCAAGCATGGTGGCACACACCTGTACTCCCAGCTACTCAGGAGGCTGAGGCAGGGGGATCACTTGAGCCCAGGAGGTCAGGGCTGCAGCGAGCTGTGTTCACACCACTGCACTCCAGCCTGTGTGACACGGCGACACCCTTTCTCAAAAATTAAATTAAATTTTTTAAATTACAAAACCACAAGTCCAACCAAATGTAATTTGTTTTTGTTTTTGTTTTTTGAAACAAAGTTTTGCTCTTGTTGTCCAGGCTAGAGAGCAATGGCACAGTCTTCACTCACTGCAACCTCTGCCTCCTGGGTTCAAGCAATTCTCTTGCCTCAGCCTTCCCAGAAGCTGAGATTACAAGCATGTGCCACCACGCCTGGCTAATTTTGTATTTTAGTAGAAACAGGGTTTCTCCATGTTGGTCAGGTTGGTCTTGAACTCCTGACCTCGTGATCTACCCGCCTCAGCCTCCCAAAGTGCTTGGATTGTAGGTCAGTGCACCCAGCCCAAATGTAATTTTTTTTAAGAGAAAAGCTCTTGCTCTGTCACCCAGGCTGGAATGCAGCAGTGTGATCATAGTTCACTACAGCCTTGAACATGTGGGCTGAAGCGATCCTCCCATCTCAGCCTTCTGAATAACTACTACTGTTTTTATTAGAAGGCAGGGCATTATAAGTACATGTCACCATGTGCAGCTAATCTTAACATTTTTTTGTAGAGACAAAATGTCACTATGATGCCCAGGCTGGTCTCAACTCCTGGCTTCGGGAAATCCTCCCATCTTGGCTTCCCAAAGTGCTGAGATTACAGGTGTGAGCCACTGTCCCCGAATCCAATCAAATGTAATCCAACCATAACAGGAAACACCATTTGATTCCACTTTTTTTTTTTTAATGTAGCAATAGAATATATTCAAAAATAAAATAAAATACTTACTCTTTTTTCTGGACTGAAGTCAATGGCTTTTCGGTTTTCTTTTCCGGTTCCAGTGAAGAGCTATTGAACATAAATAACAATACCTTTAATAAATTATTAGTTAATATCCTCTCAATTCTATCTGTAGGCAAGAAGAAAACTACTTTGTTTTTTTTTTTTTGAGATGCAGTCTCACTCTGTCACCCAGGCTGGAGTGCAATGGCATGATCTCAGCTCACTGCAACCTCTGTCTCCCGGGTTCAAGCAATTCTCCTGCCTCAGCCTCCCTAGTAGCTGTGATTACAGGCATCTGCCACTGTGCCTGGCTAATTTTTATATTTTTAGTAGAGACAGGGTTTCACCATCTTGGTCAGGGTGGTCTTGAACTGTTGACCTCATGATCCACCCACCTCGGCCTATCAAAGTGCTGGGATTACAGGCCCCTCTAACTTCTGTTTTTTAATGATATACCACAGCATTTTGTTAATGACAGTGCAATCCAACAATAAATTTTTCAGTCAAAAGCTTGTCATCAAGTACAACTAATTTGTTAGGTCCTAAGTAGGGAATACTTTTTTTTTTTAATACAACAACAGTGTCTTGCTGTGTCACCCAGGCTGACATGCAGTGGTGTGATCTCAGCTCACTGCAACCTCCACTTCTTGGGCTCAAGCAATCCTCCCAACTCAGCCTCCCAAATAGGCTGGACTACAGATATGTGCTACCACACCAGGCTAATTCCTGTCTTTCAATTTTCTTGCAGAGACGAGGTCTCACCATATTGCTCAGGCTGGTCTCAAACTCCTGGGATCATGCGATCCTCCCACCTTAGCCTCCCAAGACGCTGGGATTACAGACATGAGCCACCACACCCAGCAGAGAATAGGAGGCTCCCAGTCCCGAAGCATGAAGCAACCTAGGTGTCTTGTCTCCAACTCCCAGATGTTAAACAACTCAAAACCCAGGTTTCTGACCATTTCTTCAATAGGGCCAAAGACCTGTTGAATCTGAAAAAAGGCTATGGTGAAGAACTGGCCCTAATTCCTACCCCTACCTGCTAAACTAACAAAGATTATAAACCTTCTGCCTCCCAGGCTTTTTTTTCTTTTTGAGACAGAGTCTCGTTCTTTCTCCAGGCTGGAGTGCAGTGGCTTGATCTTGGCTCACTGCAACCTCCGCCTCCCAGGTTCAAACTATTCTCCTGCCTCAGCCTCATAAGTAGCTGGGATTACAGGTGCACACCACCACGCCCAGCTAATTTTTGTATTTTTAGTAGAGAAGCTTTGTTCTTGGATGATTTATTAATCAAACTACTAATGTCTATTAGAAGGCAGGACATAAAACTTAAATCACTCCTTTACATCAGGTTATAGATGTTAGAAATACAAATTGCAATCTTTTCAAACTTTTTTTTTTTTTTTTTTTGAGTCAGAATTTCGCTCTTGTTACCCAGGCTGGAGTGCAATGGTGCGATCTCGGCTCACCACAACCTCCGCCTCCTGGATTCAAGCAATTCTCCTGCCTCAGCCTCCCGAGTAGCTGGAACTACAGGCGCGTGCCACCACACCCAGCTAATTTTTGTATTTTTAGTAGAGGCGGTGTCTCACCATGTTGACCAGGATGGTTTCGATCTCTTGACCTCGTGATCCACCCACCTTGGCCTCCCAAAGTGCTGGGATTATAGATGTGAGCCACCGCGCCCGGCCTCAAACTTTTTTTTTAATAAGACAGTCTCACTGTCTCCCAGGCTGGAGTGCAGTGGTGCAATCCTCGCTCACTGCCACCTTGAATTCCCAGGCTCAAGTGATCCTCCCACCTCAGCTTCCTGTGCACCACAATGCCCAGCCAAGGTTTGTATTTTTTCGTAGAGATGGGGACTCACTACATTGCCCAGGCTAGTCTCAAATTCCTGGGCTCAAGCAATCCTTTCCTCTTGGCCTCCCAAAATGCTGGGATTACAGGTATGAGTCACCTTGCCTGGCCAAAATTGCAATCTTGATTACAAGAAAGTTGCTTAGTTGGTTTTACTACACCTTAAGTAATTAATGTAATGAAGCATAAGAAAGGAAACTTTTTTTTTTTGAGACAAGATCTCGATGTCACTCACACCAGAGTACAGTGGCATGAACATGGTTTACTGCAGCCTCAACTGCCAGGGCTCAGGCAGTCTTCCTACCTTAGTCTCCCAAATAGCTGGAACTACAGTCACATGCCACCATGCCTGGCCAATTTTTGTATTTTTTGTAGAGACAGAGATTCACCATGTTGCCCCAGCTAGTCTCAAACTCCTGGACTCAAGCAGCGCACCTGCCTTGGTCTCCTAAAGAGCTGGGATTATAGGTATAAGCCACTGTGCCCAGCCAGGAAATGTATTTTTAATCCTAGAAATAAAGGGCATAATTTACCATTCCTAGAAAGTAGTTACTTGAAATCCTGCTACTTTTGTTATGAAATTCTATTTAAAAGGACATCATATATGTTCTAAATTTTGTCAACACACTTTTGGGAAACAAAAAACTGTACTCTAAAAATGGTATTTATATCACTATATACCCAAAGAAAGTAAAACAAAAGACCCAGCACAATGGCTCACGCCTGTAATCTCAGCACTTTGAAAGGCCAAAGTGGGTGGATCACCTGAGGTCAGGAGTTGAAACCAGACTAGTCAACACGGTGAAACCCCATCTCTACTAAAAATACAAAAATCAGCCAGGCATGGTGGACAGCACCTGTAATCCCAGCTACTTGGGAAGCTGAGGCAGGAGAATCGCTTGAACCTGGGAGGTTGCAGTGACCCGAGACTGTGCCACTGTAATGGAGTATAGTCTGGGTGACAGAGCGAGACTCCACCTCCAAACAAAAAAAGGAGATAGTAAAGCAGAAATAAATTTTACTTACGTCATTGGATTATTATCTGGTAGATAATATATGAAGTCTCTCATAGTCATTTTTGAACGATCTGGTGGCCTCTGACTTTCATTTATAGCATATTTGTTTTTCCATTGTTTCTGCATACATAAACACACAGATCCACTTTTATAAATACTAAAGAATTTCAGATGTACTATATGCAAATATACAGCCCACTGTTGCATTCACTATAAGTGCTTTAATATTATTCTTACCCCAATTACGTAATTTTGCAGATGGAATATTAAAAAGTTGTAGCACATAACCCTTAATAGTTTTGAGGTTTTATATATCTATTTTTGAGAGGGGCGTCTTGCTCTGTTGTCCAGGCAAGGGTGCAGTGGTGCAGTCATAGCTCACTGCAGCCTGGAACTCCTGAGCTCAAGCAGTCCTCCCACCTCAACCTCCCAAGTAACTACAGATTCTTGCCACAAGACCTGGCTAATTTTGTTTTTTTTTTTTTTTGAGATGGAGTTTCGCTTTTGTTACCCAGGCTGGAGCGCAATGGCGCAATCTCAGCTCACCACAACCTCCGCCTCCTGGGTTCAGGCAATTCTCCCGCCTCAGCCTCCTGAGTAGCTGGGATTACAAACATGCGCCACCATGCCCCGCTAATTTTTTATATTTTTAGTAGAGACGGGGTTTCACCATGTTGACCAGGATGGTCTCGATCTCTTGACCTCGTGATCCACCCGCCTTTGCCTCCCAAAGTGCTGAGATTACAGGCTTGAGCCACCGTGTCTTTTTCTTTTTAAGAGACATCCTGCTCAGTAAATGTGGGGTTTTTTTTTGTTTTTTTGTTTTTTGGGTAGAGATGGAGTCTCCCTATGTTGCCCAGGCTGGTCTCAAATTCCTGGGCTCAAGTGATTGTCTTACCTCAGCCTCCTTAAGCACTGAAATTACAGGAGTGAACCACGCACCCAGCCAGTATTTACTTTTTAACAATTAAAGTGACTAAGACTAGATAAAAGCTCAGTGTGACCAGGCATGGTGGCTCATGCCTATAATTCCAGCACTAAGGGAGGCCAAAGCAGGAGGATCGCTTGAGCTCAGGAGTTACCAGCCTGGGCAACATAGTGAGACCTTGTCTCAAAACTAAACACATAAATAATAAAAGAATAAAACTAATAAAGCTCAATGTATAAAATGCTTACTGATGCCTTCTAACTAAACATCTTAATAACTCACTGAGAATTTGTGCTTACACAGCTTTCTTTTTCAACTCTGTAGTGAATTGAAATTCTATACTTTATAAAATTATTGAAGCAAATGTTTAATCCTTAATCCCCCAAAATAAAATAAGCATTTTCTATAAAACATAGAACCTTTTTAAAATTAAATTACCCAAGGTCACATAGCTAGTAAAGAAATGAAGCTACGGCAGGCACAGTGACTCACGCCTGTAATCCCAGCACTATGGGAGGCCGAAGCAGGTGGAAGAGGTCAGGAGTTTGAGACCAGCCTGGCCAATATGGCAAAATGCTGTCTCTACTAAAAATACAGAAATTAGCCGGACATGGTGGTCGACGCCTGTAATCCCAGCTACTCAGGAGGCCGAGGCAGGGAGAATCACTTGAACCCAGGAGGCAGAGATTGCAGTGGGCTGAGATCGCACCATTGTACTCCAGCCTGGGTGACAGAGTAAAACTCTGTCTCAAAATAAAAAAGAAGGAAATGAAGCTGAGATTCAATCCTTAAGTATTTAATTCCAGGAGGGCTGGCATGCTCTACTACTGTTACCTGCCCTTCTAGAAAAAAAATCAATCCTCAAGATTGAAAAGAACATGGACTCTACTATATGCATACCACAAATTTTTCCCACTTGTAATTTTCCATATTGTCAATTTAGAAAATATTATTAATTCATTTCGCTCAACTATATTTGTCTTTCCTTTTTTTTTTCCCCAGAGACAGTTTCACTCTGTTACCCAGGCTGGAGTGCAGAGGCACAATCTCAACTGACTGCAACCTCTGCCTCTCAGGTTCAAGCAATTCTCATGCCTCAGACTCCCCAGTAGTTATGATTACAGGTGTGCACCACCAGGCCCAGCTAATTTTTTGTATTTTTAGTAGAGATCGGGTTTTGCCATGTTGGCCAGGCTGGTCTTGAACTCCTCACCTCAAGTGCTCTGCCTGCCTCGGCCTCCCAAAGTGCTGGGATTACAGGCGTGAGCCAACATGCCCAGCCTATATAGGCTTATATATAAATAAAATATATATATATAAATTTGTCTTAATTCAAATAAATACATTGCTTGTCATTTGGACATCTTTCTATGAAAAGTCTGGTTGAAGGCTTATTTGATAAATATGTTTGTATATGTATATCTGTGTGTAAGTACATAAAACTTATCTATGGCCTCTACCAAAAACAGTGAAAACATAAATAAATAAAATATGTAAAAATTACAATCAGTGAAAATGTAGTTTAAGTCCATGGTGCATCAATCTTCCATTAAGAGGGGATGTTGTACTGACTAAGGCATGTTACATGGTTTTGCTCCCCCTTCAAAACGCTACAGATGTTTTTCTTTCAAATGATTCCTTTTTTTTTTTTTATTTTTTAAAGATGGGGTTTCACCATATTAGTCAGGCTGGTCTTGAACTGACCTCAGCTGATCTGCCCACCTCAGCCTCCCAAAAGTGCTGGGATTACAGGCGTGAGCCACCGCGCCTAGCAAATGATTCCTTATGAACATAAACAGAAATCCAGCAGGCAACATCAAAATCCTGATTCTCCTCCCTTACCTTCTCTTTTCTCAATTCTTCTTTTAACATTTCCCTCAGTTTCCGGGCTTTGTATATTCGGTATCTATCTGAGCACGGCTGTTTCTCTTTTGTCGGAGTGGCAATTGGCTGTGGAGCCTCTTGATTAACAGTAGATAAGGGATGGGATTCTGAAGAAACACTGACACTAGACTTAACCAAAGGAGAAGTACTTGATACTCGCTTTCTTCTCTGTGAAACAGTAGAGGAAGATTTACTGGATTCTTTAACATCATTGTCACTAGCAGTCTTTTCAGTACTGTTGAAATTGAAAAGAAAAAAGAGGGCACCATGAATCTGCTGTTTACATGCTAGTTTTAAAACGTACTCTGGTAAAAATCCAAAAGTGTAATCTTATAATTTAAAAAAAAAAAAATCAGTGACTTGAGATTTATGTTAATTATGACAGGTTACAAAAAAAAATTTTGTTCAGTAAATCTTTTAAATATATGCAAATTCTAACAGACTCTTAATCTTTTTCAAACATAAAAGTCCCTAAGCACATTAGAGCACATAATTACAGGCTTAGCTCCCTCAAAACAAAAAGTAACCAACTTACAAAACAAACCTTAATCAGCCTAAGTAACAGAGTTTTTAAAGTAATAATTTATAATTAATTTATATATAAAATTAAAAATTTATAATTCACTCTGACATCTTACACTGGTCTAAACTACCGGCATTTTACTTATCAACCTGAGGTCAGTCAAATCAAATACGCAAAACTTCAAACCTCTGAAATACCTGTACTGCAGTATTTAAAGAAAAACATTTAGTTACATTAGCCAAACCAAATCCCTTTGAGGCAGAAATCACTTATCTTTTGTCAGGTACAATTCTACTTATACAGCCATCAGAATAAACTCTTCAGTCAAAAAAAGGACTCAGTCACCCCAAATTGTATATTAGGTATGGTACACCTCAGACAGAAGTATTTCAGGAATGGTCTGTAAATGTGACTAAGTCAAAAAATGAGTTGGTATAAGTCACTAATTAAAAATAATATGCTTTTTTCATATTTTACAGTTATTTATAAAAAATCAGAAAATGCCTCAACTTACAGAATAACCTTTGCAGGAAGACTTCAATTTAAATTTGTATCTTAGCTGTTATGACAATGTGATACATGCATTACTTGCATTTCACCCAGTTACGTTGAATGACAGAATATATACCTATAGATTTTTACAACTAGTAGAAACCCCCAAAGAAATTTTAAAAGGCCGAGCACAGTGGCTCATGCCTGTAATCCCAGCACTCTGGGATGTGGCAGGCAGATCACTTGAGGTCAGGAGTCTGATTCAGCCTGGCCAACATGATGAAACCCATCTCTACTGAAAATACAAAAATTGGCTCAGTATGATGGGGCATGCCTGTAGTCCCAGACACTGGGAAGCTGAGGCAGGAGAACTGCATGAACCCAAGAGGTGGAGCTTGCAGTAAGCCAAGATTGCACCACTGCACTCAACCCTGGGCGACAGAGTGAGACTCCATCTTGAAGAAAAAAAAAAAATTTTTTTTAATGGGGGAAAAAAAACCACTTTCACAGAGTCAGTAATGGCTAAAAAAAACCCACATGACTAAAAAATATATTCCCCAAATGTAAATGTCAACTCTTAAAAAAAATTAAACATACTTGACCATAAATGTCTCTGAACTATAATATTTGAGCAATTTATCAAATTATCAACCATCATGCACTCATACATAATTAATGAAATCTCTTAGAACTTTATTAATTTAACAGCAACTAGTACTGGTATTTCCATTCTGGTGTAGAAATTTTAAAACAGATTCATGTAAGAAACTCGGATATTACTAAGCATCACTGAACTATCAACATTACACCCTACACTCAGCACCAGTACAGACCAATAGAGAAAAATGTGTCAAAAATAAAAAAATTTTTCACCTTCCTACCACAGGATAAACAGAATTTGTACCATCTCACTGTCACGGTTGTTAACTGATTTCTTCATATATATAGAAACAGAGGCCATCTTAGCCTAACATGTCTTAAATTTATTCCATCGCCTTTTTAAAAAACTAATAATCTTTTGTGGGCAACTATTTTGCCATATCCCCTGCAAGATAGTTTATATCAGTTATCTCCAATCTCCACCAAAACGCTCCAAGTAGGCAATATCTTTCCCATTTTGCAGATGAGTAAATGCTGCCTGAGAAAAGTCTACCTTTAAAGGCCGGGCGCGGTAGCTCAAGCCTGTAATCCCAGCACTTTGGGAGGCCGAGGCGGGTGGATCAAGAGGTCAAGAGATCGAGACCATCCTGGTCAACGAGGTGAAACCCCGTCTCTACTAAAAATACCAAAATTAGCTGGGCATGGTGGTGCACGCCTGTAGTCCCAGCTACTCCGAGGCTGAGGCAGGAGAATTGCTTGAACCCAGGAGGCGGAGGTTGCGGTGAGCCGAGATAGTGCCATTGCCCTCCAGCCTGGGTAACAAGAGCGAAACTCCGTCTCAGAAAAAAAAAGAAAAAGAAAAGTCTACCTTTAGACTAAAAGAGTCCTGAATCCAAATATGATACATGACGCTAAAGCCATGCTTCTCTATTCGGGAAACATGGTCACTATAGTTAAAGGGGCACACTTCAGTCAAGTAACTAGAACTGTTACTCACTGACGTTAAGTCAGCAGAGCCAAAACAATACTTAACTTCTCCTTTTAAAAATAAATATTTTATAAACTGAAAAACAAAAACACTTCCCTGCAAAGCACTCCAGAAGGATGAAAACTATGGTGACTAAATTTTCAAATGAATAGTGTGGATATTCTTCACTTCAGGATTGCCATATCCCGATTGTCCCCTCCACCACTAGAAGACATGATTTCTCTTCTCGGAGAATCTACAAACCGTGACAAAATCCATACAAGCCGCACTCTGCAGGTCAGACAACCAAACTGCAGTTTGGAATGGTTTCATACTGCAATCGAGAGCGGACTCCTGTGATTAAATTCATTGTTCAGCTTCCAGATGACAAGCCCGGAGAGGCAGGGCAAATGAAAATTCTTCCCTATGCAAGCTCTTACCTGATCCTAGGAGCCTTTTCTTGGGGCTCCGCTCCATTGAAATGGACGGCGGACACATCCGTGGGCTCCGCTGGCTTAGAAGAAGAGTCCGTGGCAGGCTCCGGCGGCCTGGGAGACTCCTGCCCACGCTGGGGATTGGGAGCGGCGGAGCCCCTGGCGCCCACACTAGGCCGGACATTCGGCTTCACGCTAAGGCGTGCCCTGCGAAACATGGCGGAGCCAGGGGGCCCGGGGAGGCAGCCTGACGGCCGCTCACAGCCCCGAGCCCCGGCGGCTGCCCGGAAAAGGTGTTAGGAACTACGCCCTCCCCACAAAGCCCCACCACCAGCACAGCGGGCAGCTACCGCAGTTTCACTCCCCAACCGCCACCTCCTCCTCTCTCCCGCCGCCGCCGCTTTTTCATGACCCTGCCACACACTGACGGCCAAAATTCTCTCTCCTCCCAGCTCCCCCGCCCTCACAGGGCAGCGGAACTGATTGCGCCATCAGGCAGCGCCGCGGAATGACGTCAGACGCACAGCACTGGAAGCCATGGTAACTACCAAGCTACCGAGACTGGGCTACCCGGGGATCAGAAATTGAGATGCAGAGATGTGTGCTCTTTCTTCTCTAGGACTCCTTAGGAGTAGTTGAAAAAAGGAAAAGAAGAAAGTCGACTTTTCAGCTCAAACCTTTACTGGAACTATTAAAATCGCTGGCCGATTTTGTTTTTAGAGGTCCTGAAGGGCTTAGAAATTCTAAATTGAGTAGACAGATTAGAAATGCTGGTGTGAAGAAACTGATAATGGTTACTTCCTAGGAGAGGAATTGAGTTTCTGGGAAACACGTCGTGGTAGAAAGATCATGTACAGTACGCCCTTGTGTACTTTTTTGTTTTTTTCTTTTGAGACGGTCTCGCTCTGTCTCCTAGGCTGGAGTGGTGCAGTAGGGCCATCTTGGCTGACTGCAGCCTCTACCTACAGGGCTCAAGCAATCCTTCCGTCTCAGCCTCCCAAGTAGCTGGGACCACAGGTGCGCACCACCACACCCGGCTAATTTTTTTTTTTTTTTTTTTTTTGTATATTTAGTAGAGACGGGGTTCATCATGTTGCCAACACTAGTCTTGAACTCCTGGGCTCAAGCGCTCCACCCAGTTTGGCCTCCCAAAGTGCTGGGATTACAGGCGTGAGCCACCACGCTTGGCCTCCTTGTGTACTTTTTAATATGAATATATCACCTGAGATTGTGCCACTGCACGCCAGCCTGTTTAAAAATTATTATAGTTGAAACTTTGCAAATTATTTTGAGTATTCTTTTTTTTTTTTTTGAGGTGGTGTCTTGCTCTGTCACCCAGGCTGGAGTGCAGTGGTGCGATCTCTGCTCACTGCAACCCCCACCTCCCAGGTTCAAGCGATTCTCCTGCCTCAGCCTCCCGAGTACCTTGGACTACAGGTGCATGTCACCACACCCACCTAATTTTTTGTATTTTTAGTAGAGACGGGTTCCACCATGTTAGCCAGGATGGTCTCAATCTTCTGACCTCGTGATCTGCCTGCCTTGGCCACCCAAGGGATTACAGGCGTGAGCCACTGTGCCCTGCCACTATTTTGAGTGTTCTTAATTTGCTTCAAGAGGTAGCTAAACAAGGCGTTCTGGATTTGAGAGGAGAAAATACAAAAAAAATTAACAAGGTATTTTTAAAATGTATCAGACTGGGCACAGTGGCTCATGCCTGTAATCCCAGCACTTTGGGAGGCTAAGGCAGACAGATTGCTTGAAGTCAGGAGTTCAAGACCAGCCTGGCCAATATGGTTAAACCCTGCCTCTACTAAAAATACAAAAAGTAGCGAGGCGCGGTGACTTACACCTGTAATCCCAGCAATTTGGGAAGCTGAGGCAGGCAGATCACGAGAACAGGAGATCAAGACCATCCTGGCCAACATGGTGAAACCCCGTCTCTACTAAAAATTCAAAAAATTAGCTGGACATAGTGGCACACGCCTGTGGTCCCAGCTACTCGGGAGGCTAAGGCAGGAGAATTGCTTGAACCCAGGAGGCAGAAGTTGCAGTGAGCAGATATGGCGCCATTGCATTCCAGCCTGGGAGACAAGAGCGAGACTGTCTCAAAAAAAAAAAAGAAAGAAAAAGAAAAGACTATGAAGAAAATGAAGGTCTGGAGGTCAGGCATAGCTCATGCCTGTAATCCCAGCATTTTGGTAGGCCAAGGCAGGTGAATCACTTGAACCCAAAAGTTCCCAAGACCAGCCTAGCCAACGTGGTGAAACTCTGTCTCTACCAAAAATACAAAAATTAGCCAAGCATGGTGGCTTGCGCCCGTAGTCCCAGCTACTCGGGAGGCTGAGATTGGAGAATTGCTTGAACTGAGGAGACTGAAGTTGCAGTAAGCCAAGATCGCACACCGCCCTCCAGCCTGAGTGACAAAGTGAGGCCCTGTCTCAAAAAAAAAAAAAAAAATGGCTGGGTATGGTGGTTCACACCTGTAATCCCAACACTTTGGGAAGCCAAGGCGGGCAGATCACCTGAGGTCAGGAGTTCAAGACCAGCCTGACCAATATGGAGAAACCCTGTCTCTACTAAAGATACAAAATTAGCTGGGCATGGTAGCGCATGCCTATAATCCCAGCTACTTGGGAGGCTGAGGCAGAAGAATTGCTTGAACCCGGGAGGCGGAGGTTGCAGTGAGCTGAGATCGCACCACTGTACTCCAGCCTGGGCAAGAAGAACGAAACTCCATCTAAAAAAAAATGAAGAAAGAAAGAAAAGGTCTGTGAGGCCAGGCGCGGTGGCTCATGCTTATAATCCCAGCACTTTGGGAGGCTGAGGCGGGTGGATCACGAGGTCAAGAGATCAAGACCCTCCTGGTCAACAAGGTAAAACCCCGTCTCTACTAAAAATACAAAAATTAGCTGAGCATGTTGGTGCGCGCCTGTAGTCCCAGCTACTGGGGAGGCTGAGGCAGGAGAATTGCTTGAACCCAGGAGGCAGAGGTTGCAGTGAGATCATGCCATTGCACTCCAGTCTGGGTAACAACAGCGAAACTCTGTCAGAAAGAAAGAAAAGAAAAGAAAAGGAAGAAAGAGAGAGAGAGAGAGAGAGAGAGAGAGAGAGAGACGGAAAGAAAGAAAGAAAGAAAGAAAGAAAGAAAGAAAGAAAGAAAGAAAGAAAGAAAGGAAAGAAAGAAAAAGAAAAGGTCTGTGAGTCTCCCTGCAATACTCTGGAAAAGGAACAGGATCTCAGTTTTACCTAAAGAAGCTCAAGAATTAGAGAATCCCCTGCTAAAGATGTCTCAGGAATCTTGGAGCAACTGCCAGAACTACACAGCTTTGAACAGCATATTCTGATACAAACTGAAGACACAGGGCCTTTCCACAGATGGTCTTCTGTTCTCCCTAAAAGACTAGACATTTTCCCAAGATTTTACAGGTCAGAAAGTAGTGACTTAAGATTTAATTTCCCACTAGTAAAGGGATGGGAACTTATAAAGACATAAGACATTTGTTACACAAGTTTGTGAAGGAAATTCTTAGTGGCATCATAGTAATTTTTTAAATCTCCACTTTTCTCTGAGAGACACACCTAACACATCTTGTGTAAATGGACTATATCATGTGTACCCCTACAACTTAAAAACTGCAAAATTTTTTAGCTGCCAAGAAAATAGTCTCTACTAAAAATACAAACATTATCCGGGGCAGGGTAGCACATGGCTGTAATCCCAGCTACTCCGGGAGGCCGAGGAAATGAGAATCACTTGAAGCCGGGAGGCCAAGTCTGCAATGAGCGGAGATTGCACCAGTGTACTCCAGCCTGGGCAAGAGTGAGACCCTGTCTCCAAAAACAAAACAAAACACGGTGCCAGAAAGTTAATCTTTTCCCTTTATTCAAGTTACTCAAGAAGAAATTCACTAAGTGGTAACAGATGTTAGCAGTATGAAGGAAGACAGGTGGGGTGCAGGAGTAGGATAGTGATGTGTGCGAGGCTCTCCAAATTTGAAAGAATGACAGACAGTAAGAGCTAACGAATTGTTACCGTATGCTGGGGACCTAGTACTTCACAGATAATAATACAGTTAATGAAGGAGGTACAGGTAAGAACACTTTAACGTAACGAAATAGTTTCCAAGTTGACACTGTTATACTGGACTGAGCATAGAAAGTCAACACCAAGACAAAAGTATGCCAAATTGCAGGTTTTATTGACGGCAACCACGAAGGACTCACGTCTCTTCAACCCGTGGCAGAGCAAGAAGGGTGACAAGACCTTTTTATACCCGTAAAACCACTTGGGAGTGGGGGTGAGGCGCGGGGATGGGGATGAAAGCCTTCAGACATTTTGAGGGCTAGCGGATTCTGTAAATCACCTCCTGGGCCGAGACAAGGGCCAGGGGACTTTTGTCATTCCAATTGTTACTTACGTGGTTTACAGAAGTCAAGATAAACGTTTATACAGTATCTGGGTAGGGGTACAGATTTCAGTTACTTATTACAAGTTGCAGAAGCCAGGATGGAATTATCTTGGGCTGCTTATTCTGGTTATTACCGGTAAGCAAAGGCTAGCAACTCTGGCAGTTACTGATAAGGGAAGGTAAGCAGCTTTACCTCTCTGCATTCTGCAAAGTAAACTAGCAGTCTTATTTACAGAAGCCAAGGCCAGTAGTTATGGTGCAGCCGTTACAACTTATTTCTGAAAAACAGCTTTGTCTTTTATAAAATGGCATTGCTCAGGTTCCAGCTATAGCACAACACAGCTACTAATTGGCGGAGCTGGGCTTTCTACCCAGACAGTTCATCTCCAGAGCCCCTCACTCTTCACTTTCTTCACCTTCTCTAAAATAGAGGATTTTATGAGGTAATAATTGAAGTTTGGTCGTATCTCCTTGAGGATTCGCTATCCTTGTTACTAATGCTTTTATACTGCATAAATTTCAGATCTTCCGAAATAAAAGTTTTTAATATATAGGGCAATTTGGAGTATCCAAATCATGTTTGTAACGTTATCTTTTTGTTTCTATGTGTGTGTGTATGTAACAATGGAAGAGGAGAAGAAAGTATATGCCAGAGGAGCCATAGAAGCATCTCTACAAGTGTTTCCGGCAATGACAGATGGTCCACAGCTTTTACGTAGGTTCCGAGGTTTTTCTGGGCTATTCTGAATCGTGGTTAAGACTGCATTCCCGGGCATTTCCCCACCACACGACTCAAGCAGAGGCAGTAAGCTAAAACTCCTAAAGCACTGTGGATCGTGACAAGGGCACTGAGATGAACTGGAAAATAAACGTGCTTTAGAGTCCGTCTTAAATTTTATTCTCATATCAATTCCTACGCGTTAAGTCAGTGTCTCTTCTGCAAAATGAAAACAATGCAGCCTACCTTGCAGGGTTGTAGTTAGAATAAGGGAGGAAAATATGTAAAGGGCCAACACTGCCTTTCGCAGTTACCCTCAATCTTTTCATTCATCTCCGCCTCCGGAAGGAGATGAATGAAAGCTAACTTTCTTTACCAAAAAGTAAGATATTGTAGCGTTTGTTGTCATTTCCTATTAAAAAGAAAAAGGGTGGGAGCTGTGCCTGGCGCATGGGGGAAGGGGGGGGACGGAAATCCATACACGCCTATCCTTCAGTCAAACAGAACCCGCTTTCCGGGTTCTCCCGAGCGTGGGTGGCAGCAGGGTTCCGGGCGCTGCTAAGTCTCTAGGAGCTTCGGAGTTCGCGCTACCGCCTCGCCCTGGCCGCGCACGCGCAGTGACGTGCCGGCCAGGCCGGCGGCTGCTGTCGGACCTCCGTGGGCGGGGCCGCCGGCTGAGCGGAGCGGAGGCACCGCCGGGCGGAGGGCCCACGCGGGCTCAGCTTTCCGGATCGACAGTGGTGACTGTAGCCCAGCCTGCCCGGGAACGGTTGGTTTTCCGAGTCGCTGCCTTCCAGGCTCCGTCAGTGGTCGGCATGGCACGTGAGTGTGCGGACGTGGATGGGAAGCGGCGGGGAGCCTCGGGCGAGGTAGCCTAGCGCTCAGGAGCGGCCGGCGAGGGAGGCGGGTCCGACTGGAGAATCTCCTTGGGTCCCGCAGGGCGGGGATCCCGGCTTCAGTCGGCAGAGAGAGCTCGCGGCTGGCTCTGGTCAGGCTTCTCAGGCCGGGCGCGTGCCTGCCCCTCAGGGGCGAGTTAGTGCTATAAAGAACACACCCGAAGATGTGGACACGGCCGCCCCGGGAGGGTCCTTGTTTGGGGGCGGGTGGTAGCTTAGGGCCTCATGAGGACCGGGACTCCGGTGAGTCGCCTCCCTAGTTCTTTTGTTTGGCCCGCGCAGGTAATAGTCGAATAAACAGGAGGCTTTAGAGCCGGTCCTACGTGTTAGGTTAGTCTGTTGTGTAAAATGAGAACAATGAAGCCTACCTTGCAGGGTTGTGGCTTGAATAAGGATGTAAAGGACCCACACTGCCTTTCGCAGTTACCCTCAATCTGTTCAGTCCCCAACCACCCCTTTCCGCCTCAGCATGGGAATAAGGGTAACCCTCAAGTAATGCGCTGAACTTGTGATCTCTGTATCTGGCTTTCTCCTTCCACCCACACCCCTCATAAAGCCAGAACTTGTTTTGGGATACTGGCTAAGAAGATTCGAATATCTGTTTTAAAACATCTGGTGTTTATAGCTAGTGACCACTAGATTGGTATGATAATACTCTTTAAGTCTTTAAGTGTTCGCTTTTAAGCCACGTCCTTATTGTTAGATCTGGGAACACCATCAATCTGTTACTCTGCTGGTTTATCCATTAAAAAACAAACTAAAGATACATTTTAAGAAGACCTGTCTAATGGAATTATTAATAATTTTGTAGATGGGAAAAGAGCATGACTTTGACTTTGTAGGTGGAAATCAACGAGAACTTGCCCGCCAGAAAAATATGAAGAAAACCCAGGAAATTAGCAAGGGAAAAAGAAAAGAGGATAGCTTGACTACCTCTCAGAGAAAGCAGAGGTAAGTGGTGGTACTAATTTAATTCTAGAGTCACTGACGTGATTGAGGACACATTTTAGACTGGTGTGGTGCCTCATGCCTGTAATCCCAGCAATTTGGGAGAGTCGGGAGGATTGCTTGAAGCCAAGAGTTTGAGACCAACATAGCCAGCCCCTGCATCTACAAAATATTTTTTTAAATTAGCCAGATGGCTGGGGGTGGAGGCTCACACCTGTAATGCCAGCACTTTGGGAGGCCGAGGTGGGTGGATCAAGATCACATTAGGGGTTCTCAATCCTGGCTGCACATTAGAACCACCTGGGAAACCTTGACAGGTGCTCATTCCTTGCCTTATGCTCAGTTCTGATTGTTTAATTATTTATTTTATTTGTTTTTTATTTATTTTTTTTTTTGAGACGGAGTTTTGCTCTCGTTACCCAGGCTGGAGTGCAATGGCGCGATCTCGGCTCACCGCAACCTCCGCCTCCTTGGGTTCAGGCAATTCTCCTGCCTCAGCCTCCTGAGTAGCTGGGATTACAGGCACGCGCCACCATGCCCAGCTAATTTTTTGTATTTTTAGTAGAGACGGGGTTTCACCACGTCGACCAGGATGGTCTCGATCTCTTTACCTCGTGATCCACCCGCCTTGGCCTCCCAAAGTGCTGGGATTACAGGCTTGAGCCACCGCACCCAGCCTGATTGTTTTTTTAAAACATTGAATTATGGCCGGGCACAGTGGCTCACGCCTATAATCCCAGCACTTTGGGAGGCCGAGGCGGGTGGATCACGAGGTCAAGAGATCGAGACCATCCTGGTCAACAGGGTGAAACCTCGTCTCTACTAAAAATACAAAAATTAGCTGGGCATGGTGGCGCGCGCCTGTAGTCCCAGCTACTCAGGAGGCTGAGGCAGGAGAATTGCCTGAACCCAGGAGGCGGAGGTTGCGGTGAGCCGAGATCGTGCCATTGCACTCCAGTCTGGGTAACAACAGTGAAACTCCGTCTCAAAAAAAAAAAAAAAAAAATTGAATTATAATAGTTGTATATATTTTGGGGATACATGTGATATTTTAATACCTGTATGTGGGCTGGGTGATGGCTCACGCCTACAATCCCAGCACTTTGTGAGGCTGAGGCAGGCAGATGGCTTGAGGCCAGGAGTTTAAGACCAGCCTGGCCAACACAGTGAAACCCTGTTTCTCCCAAAAATTACAAAAATTAGCCAGTCATGGTGGTGCACCTGTAGTCCCAACCACTTAGGAGGCTGAGGCAGGAGAATCACTTGAACCTGAGAGGCAGAGGTTGTAGTGAATCAAGAACTTACCACTGCATTCCAGCCTGGGTGACAGAATGAGACCCTATCTCAAAAAAAAAAAAAAAAGAAAAATAAACCTAAAACCTGTATGTGTACAATGTGTAACGATCAAATCGGGGTAATTGGGATATCTCTACCCTCATTAACTTTCATCAAGTTCTGATTTAATTGGTTTGAAGTCAAGCATTAAAAAGCACCCCAGGGGCCAGGCAGGTAGATCAGGAAGTTAAGAGATGGAGACCATCCCGGCCAACATGGTGAAACCCCATCGCTACTAAAAGTAGCTGGGTGTGGTGGTGCACACCTGTAGTCCCTGCTACTCAGGAGGCTGAGACAGGAGAGCTGAGATCACTCCACTGCACTCCAGCCTGGCAACAGAGCAAGAGTCCATCTCAAAAAAAAAGCACCCTAGGTAAATTTTATTGTACTTAGATTATGCCTTTTTTTTTTTAATAAAGATAGAGTCTTACCCTGTTGCCCATGATTGAGTGCAGATCGTGATCTCAGCTCATTGCAACATCCACTTCGCGGATTCAAAAGATTCTCCTGCCTCAGTATCCCAGTAGCTGGGATTGCAGGTGCCTGACACCACGCCCAGCTAATTTTTGTATTTTTAGTAGAGACAGGGTTTCACCATATTGGACAAGCTGGTCTCAAACTACTGATCTCAAGTAATCCACTCACCTTGGCCTCCCAAAGTGCTGGGATTATAGGCATAAGCCACCATGCCGGCCCAGTTATTTCTAAAACTGAACTTGAAATAGCTCCCAGGTGATTATGATGTGCAGCCACTATTAAGAATCATTGATTAATGAGATTAAAGATCTTAATTTAAGGCAAAGCTCCTGACACTTTTTTTTTTTGACGTGAAGTCTCACTCTGTCACCTAGGCTGGAGTGCAGTGGTGTGATCTCAGCTCACTGCAACCTCCACCTCCCAGGTTCAAGTGATTCTCCTGCCTCAGTCTCCCAAGTAGCTGGGAATACAGGCACATGCCACCATGCCCAGCTAATATTTTTGTATTTTTAGTAGAGACAGGTTTCACCACATTGGCCAGGATAGACTTGATCTCTTGATCTTGTGATCTACCCACACAGCCTCCCAAATCACACCCGGCCCTTTTCTTTTTTTTTTTTTTTTTTTTTTCCAGAGATGGAGTCTCACTCTGTGACTCAGACTGGAATGCAGTGCCACAGTCTCAGCTCACTGCAACCTCTGCCTTCCAGGCTCAAGTGATCCTCCCACCTCAGCCTTCTGAGTAGCTGGGACTGCAGGAACACACCACCAAGCACAGATAGCTTTTTTATTTTTTGTAGAAATGGGGTTTCATCGTGTTGTCCAGGTGGGTCTTAAACTCCTGGGGTCAAGTGATTGCCTCAGTCTCCCAAAGTGCTGGAATTACAGGTGTGAGCTACCATGCCTGGCCCTGACATTTATTATTAAAGTGATGAGCTTTGCCTTCAATTTCTGTTTACTCACATTAGAGTAAAAATGAACATGGTATGGATCAGTAATCCTGCAATAATATTTTTACTGGAGAACCTAGTCTAGCTTGGTTCAGAAATTGCCATTGTTTTCCAACTATGCTGTCCTTTTAAAGCTCTGTGCTAGATGCTGTATATACATTATTTTTTATTCATCATAGCCCCAAAAGATGGTATTAGCACTAAGGTGTAGAATAGGAAACTGAGGCTCTGAACTTCAGTAATGTTACTAAGGTCATAGAGCAAGCACAGCAGAGCTTGGTTTCAAATAGAAAAGTAACTGTCATGATTCTTTTTCCACCATACTTCGTTTCTTTGTAGCTGTGTATGGTTTTGTTTTTTTTTTTTTTTTAAGTGAAAGCAAGTTTATTATGAAAGTAAAGAGATAAAGATAAGAGATAGGCAGAACAGCCTATAGCTGTGCTATTTTGCCTTTCTTCTATTCCTTTGTTTTTGCTATTGGCTTTACAGAAATGTCTTACTGTCATGGACTGGGGAAAACAGTTTAGCAGTTCCTCAAAAAGTTAAAACCGGCCAGGCACGGTGGCTCATACCACGGTGGCTCCTACCGGCCAGGCTGAGGCAGGAGAATCGCTTCAACCTGGGAGGTAGAGGTTGCAATGAGCCAAGATTGTGCCACTGCACTCCAGCCTGGGCAACAGAACAAGACTCTGTCTCTAAAAAATAAAAGAAATTGAGACATGAGGTTAATAACTCAGAGTTGTGGGATTTTAACCAGAGCTGGAAGTATTTGGCACACAGTAGGTGTTGAATACGTAGCTGTTTAATCTATTTTGAAAATAGTTTCATGGACTCATGGATCACCTAACCCAGGTAGTCTGGTCATAGTTCACATTTCATATGGCACATGCCAGTTTGACCAGAGATGAAAAGGGTTAAGAAAGTACCCTGAGCTCCCAGCCTTTCTTTAGTGTAATCCAGTTTTAGTGACTAGCTTGTGGGCTTTTTTGCTTGTAAGAAACTGAATTGCTTCATAATATTTATGTCCTAGTCATAGATACCAGTTAGGATATCTAGGAGACTTCTTAAATAAATTCCCTTGTTAACAACCAAGAGTAATTGCTGTTATTCCTACATGTAGCTGCCTAATGTCAGCCACTTTTATATATTCATAGCTATTCCTCAGAACAACCTTGATACATGTTGCTCAGATTTTGAAAGGGCTTTGAGGTTGTTTGTTCAAGATCATGATAACAGAGATGATATTCAGAATAAGATCTGACTACAAAACCTTTCTAGTATTTGTCTTTACATTTTGTCTCCAACCATGAAAATGGAAAGGCAAGAATGTTTATATAATCTTTTAAATTGTCATCTAATATATTGAATGGGTTATGTGTAGAAAACAAGTGAGAATATAAAATTGGTCTTTCTATAACAACTTACAGCCTTTCCCCCCATTGTAGGGACTCTGAGATCATGCAACAAAAGCAGAAGGCAGCTAATGAGAAGAAGTCTATGCAGACAAGAGAAAAATGATGACTGGCTATTTGGAAAACCTGGGTGCTACTGCCGACTGGGTGTATCATAAGCTCTAAGATCAAGACTTTGTAGAGTGGACAGTCATTAAATATGTTTTATCTTATCCTTTAAAAACTATTTTGAACTTTACCTTTCAGTTTGACTTAGTGCAATGTTTTAGAAACAGTCCTCAAAGAATAAAACACTACATGCATGTGGCGTATTGGTGAACATGATTTTTATTAGTTAACATATATAATTTATTAGGTAATATGGTCAAATAATAGGATCTCTCATATAATAAAGATTCTTTGTCATCACCTTTGTTAATGTAGTTTTTTTTTTCCCTTCAGTTTCTAAGGATAAGCATAAAGTAGATTTTTAAAGTAAACTTTATTGTATAATAGAAGTTAAGAACCATTTGTATAATTTTGCTTTGAAATCAGCTTACAGGGCCAGGTGCAGTGACTCACACCTGTAATCCCACTACTTTGGGAGGCCAAGGCAGGCAGATCACCTAAGATCAGTAGTTTGAGACCAGCCTGGCCAACATAATGAAAGCCCGCCTGTACTAAAAATATAAATTAAAAAAATTAGCCAGATGTGGTGGCACTTGCCTGTAATCTCAGCTACTCAGGAGCCTGAGGCAGGAAAATCACTTGAACCCAAGGCAGAGGTTAAAGTGAGCAGAGATCGCACCACTGCACTCCAGCCTGGGCAACTCTGTCTCAAAAGAAAAGAAATCAACTTAAAAGCTTGCTTGAAGAATTTACAGCAGATAATACAAATCACTGGAATAGAAACTAAATGGATGTAAACTGAGATCTCGGTTCTACTTATACCTTTAACATTTTTTGGAATGAGTACCATATTTTCTGTTCTCAGCCACTTCTAAAATTGAGTCTTGATGGTAGTTATAAATTTGGAAATATGTACCCTAGAGAAACAAGGTTTGAGACCTTGTTACATTCTGAAGTAAATGCAAAATTATGTCAAAGAGAATAAAAATGCCATTGTAGTAGTAAATAGGATAACTTTTAAGTATTCTACAAATACTTGATTTTTCACATAATGCAACTTAACATTTTTCTGATCATCCAATATGTCAACCACTATCTGGACAGATCTTGAAGAGCTAGCCTAATACGATATCTCATGATTTGTCTCTTACCAGTGGTGCCACCCATAAATAGGCTGAAATCTTATATGTCTAATATTGAATGAGACAACTACGAAGTTTTTTGGTTTTGGTTTTGTTTTTTTGTTTTTCTTTTCTTTGAGACTGAGTCTCGTCTGTGGCCCAGACTGGAGTGCAGTAATGCCATTTCAGTTCACCTCTGCCACCTGGGCTCAGGTGATTCTTCTGCCTCAGCCTCCTGAGGAGCTGGGACTACAGGCGTATACCACCACACCCAGCCACTTTTTTTTTTTTTGAGACGGAGTTTCACTGTTGCCCAGACTGGAGTTCAATCGTGTGATCTGGGCTCACCGCAACCTCCACCTCCTGGGTTCAAACCATTCTCCTGCCTTAGCTTCTTGAGTAGCTTGGATTACAGGCATGCATCACCATGTCTGGCTAATTTTGTCTTTTTAGTAAAGACGGGGTTTCTCCATGTCAGTCAAGCTGGTGTCAAACTCTCAACCTCAAGTGATCCACCCACCTTGGCCTCCCAAAGTGCTGGAATTACGAGTGTGAGCTACTGCGCCCAGCTAATTTTTGTATTTTTAGTAGAGACGGGGTTTCACCACATTGTCCAGGCTGGTCTCAAACTTCTGACTTCAGGTGATCCACCAGCCTCCTCCTCCCCAGCTCTATACCTGGGGTTGCAGACATGAGCCATCCCACCCAGTTGAAGTTTTTTAGTCTAAGTATTTATCTTCATATTGGCATGGATTTTGCATTAAATTAAAACATTGTTATGGACTTTTTTTTTTTTAGTGTATTAACTTTTTTTTTCTTTAATTGCGTTTTAGGTTTTGGGGTACATGTGAAGAATATGCAAGATAGTTGCATAGGTACAAACGTGGTAGTTGTGATTTGCTGCCTTCCTCCCCTTCACCTATATCTGGCATTTCTCCCCATGCTATCCCTCCCCAACTCCCCACCCCCCCACTGTCCCTCCCCTATTCCCCCCTACAGACCCCAGTGTGTAGTGCTCCCCTCCCTGTGTCCATGTGTTCTCATTGTTCAACACCCGCCTATGAGTGAGAACATGCGGTATTTCATTTTCTGTTCTTGTGTCAGTTTGCTGAGAATGATGTTCTCCAGGTTCATCCATGTCCCTACAAAGGACACGAACTCATCGTTTTTGATGGCTGCATAATATTCCATGGTATATATGTGCCACATTTTCCTTGTTCAGTCTATCATCGATGGGCATTTGGGTTGATTCCAGGCCTTTGCTATTGTAAACGGTGCTGCAATGAACATTTGTGTGCATGTGTCCTTATAGTAGAACGATTTAGATATATACCCTTTAGATATATACCCAGTAATGGGATTGGTGGGTCAAATGGAATTTCTATTTCTAGGTCCTTGAGGAATCTCCACACTGTCTTCCACAATGGTTGAACTAATTTACACTCCCACAAGCAGTGTAAAAGTGTTCCTGTTTCTCCACATCCTCTCCAGCATCTGTTGTCTCCAGATTTTTTAGTGATCCCCATTCTAACTGGCATGAGATGGTATCTCAATGTAGTTTTGATTTGCATTTCTCTAATGACCAGTGATGGTGAGCATTTTTTCATGTTTGTTGGCCTCATGTATGTCTTCTTTTGTAAAGTGTCTGTTCATATCTTTCCACCCACTTTTGAATGGGCTTGTTTGTTTTTTTCTTGTAAATCTGTTTGAATTCTTTGTAAATTCTGGATATCAGCCCTTTGTCAGATGGATAAACTGCAAAAATTTTTTCCCATTCTGTTGGTTGGCAATTTACTCTAGTGACTGTCTTTTGCCATGTGGAAGCTGTGGAGTTTGATTAGGTCCCATTTGTCTATTGGCTTTTGTTGCCAATGCTTTTGGTGTTTTGGTCATGAAGTCCTTGCCTACTCCTATGTCCTGAATGGTTTTGCCTAGATTTTTTTCTAGGGTTTTTATGGTGCTAGGTCTTATGTTTAAGTCTTTAATCCATCTGGAGTTAATTTTAGTGTAAGGTGTCAGGAAGGGGTCCAGTTTCTGCTTTCTGCACATGGCTAGCCAGTTTTCCCAACACCATTTATTAAACAGAATCCTTTCCCCATTGCTTCTTTTTGTCAGGTTTATCAAAGATTGTATGGTTGTAGATATGTTGTGTTGCCTCCAATGCCTCTGTTCTGTTCCATAGGTTTATATCTGTTTTGGTACCAGTACCATGCTGTTTTGATTACTATAGACATGTAGTATAGTTTGAAGTCCAGTAGTGTGATGCCTCCCACTGTGTTCTTTTTACTTAGAATTGACTTGGCTATGCGGGCTCTCTTTTCGTTCCATATGAAGTTTAAGATGATTTTCTCCAGTTCTGTGAAGAAGGTCATTGGTAGCTTGATGGGGATAGTGTTGAATCTGTAAATTACTTTGGACAGTACGGCCATTTTCACAATATTGATTCTTCCTAACCATGAACATGGAATGTTTCTCCATCTGTTTGTGTCCTCTCTTATTTCATTGAGCAGTGGTTTGTAGTTCTCCTTGAAGAGGTCCTTTACGTTCCTTGTTAGTTGTATTCTTAGGTATTTTATTCTCTTTGTAGCAATTGTGAATGGCAGTTCATTCTTGCTTTGGCTCTCTTTAAGTCCCTTATTGGTGTATAAGAATGCTTGTGATTTTTGCACATTGATTTTGTATCCTGAGACTTTGCTGAAGTTGCTTATCAGTTTCAGGAGATTTTGGGCTGAGATGATGAGGTCTTCTAGATATACTATCACGTCTTCTGCAAATAGAGACAATTTGGCTTCCTCCTTTCCTATTTGAATATGCTTTATTTCTTTTTCTTGCCTGATTGCTCTGGCTAGAACTTCCAGTACTATATTGAATAGGAGTGGTAAGAGAGGCCATCCTTGTCTAGTGCCAGATTTCAAAGGGAATGCTTCCAGTTTTTGCCCATTTAGTATGATATTGGCTGTTGGTTTGTCATAAATAGCTTTTATTATTTTGAGATACGTTCCGTCAATACTGAGTTTATTGAGGGTTTTTAGTATAAAGGGCTGTTGAATTTTGTCAAAGGCCTTCTCTGCATCAATTGAGATAATCATGTGGTTTTTGTTTCTGGTTATGTTTATGTGGTGAATTACGTTTATGGACTTGCGTATGTTGAACCAGCCTTGCATCCCCGGGATGAATCCTACTTGATCATGGTGGATAAGCTTTTTGATGTGCTGTTGCAATCGGCTTGCCAGTATTTTATTGAAGATTTTTGCATCTATGTTCATCATGGATATTGGCCTGAAGTTTTCGTTTCTTGTTGAGTCTCTGCCGGGTTTTGGTATCAGGATGATGTTGGTCTCATAAGATGAATTGGGAAGATTCCTTCTTTTTGGATTATTTGGAATAGTTTCAGAAGGAGTGGTAACAGTTCCTCTTTGTGTGTCTGGTAGAATTCAGCTGTAAACCCATCTGGACCTGGGCTTTTTTTGTGTGTTAGGCTCTTAATTGCTGCCTCAACTTCAGATTTTGTTATTGGTCTATTCATGGTTTCGACTTCTTCCTGGTTTAGGCTTGGGAGGACACAAGTGTCCAGGAATTTATTCATTTCTTCCAGGTTTACTAGTTTATGTGCATAGAGTTGTTTGTAATATTCTCTGATGATGGTTTGAATTTCTGTGGGATCTGTGGTGATTTCCCCTTTATCGTTTTTTATTGCATCTATTTGGTTATTCTCTCTTTTCTTTTTCATTAATCTGGCTAATGGTCTGTCTATTTTGTTGATCTTTTTAAAAAAACAGCTCCTGGATTTGTTGATTTTCTAAAGGGTTTTTCGTGTCTCTATCTCCTTCAGTTCTGCTCTGATCTTAGTTATTTCTTGTTTTCTGCTAGGTTTTGAGTTTTTTGATCTTGCTCCTCCAGCTCTTTCAATTTTGACGATAGGATGTCAATTTTGGATCTCTCCACTCTTCTCATGTGGGCACTTATTGCTATATATTTTCCTCTAGAGACTGCTTTAAATGTGTCCCAGAGATTCTGGTATGTTGTGTCTTTGTTCTCGTTGGTTTCAAAGAACTTCTTTATTTCTGCCTTCATTTCATTGTTTATCCAGTCAACATTTAAGAGCCAGTTGTTCAGTTTCCATGAAGCTGTGCAGTTCTGGGTTAGTTTCTGAATTCTGAGTTCTAACTTGATTGCACT